GAGTCCAAAACCCAGGCATGTGCCCTGACCGAGAATTGAACTGTGATCTCCTGGTTCATAGGTCAATGCTCAATCACTGAGCCATGCCAGCCAGGTTATATCGAAACCCTTAAAAATATCGATACCTTCGTCCCAGTAGCCTCACTCTAGAAAATTACCTAAGTAAAGCATCTTGGATGAATCAAGCTGTGGGAATTTCGAACAGGAGTCAAAAAGGATCCAGGACCCACAGTGACAGGAAGGGATGCTTTCTGTTCGAGGTGGCTTGTTAGAGGAAAGGGGACGGATCCCAGCGTGTCTGAGGCAGTGGGTTCCTGGAGGGCAGCAGAGGGAGGTGAGAGCCTCGTTGCCTGGCTGCGACCTGGCTCTGAGGCCGGGGAATGGCCAGATGCATGGGGAGCAGCTCTGAGCCCTGCCTCTTCTCTCCCTCCCAGGACCCTGCCCGCTCCGCTGGCTTCCACCCCAGTGGCTCTGTCCTGGCTGTGGGCACAGTGACCGGCAGGTAAGGCTGAATTGGGCATTTGGGGAGGGCTTCTCTGCTCTCCTCTCCCCGAACTGTCCCTTCACCCCCGTTCCCTACTGTCTCAGAGTCCACAGAGAACATTAGTTAGGTACCAACTGTTTACCAAGCAAGACTTGATCTCCCAACATTCCTCTGAAGTCAGCCTCTCCCCCAAATCTCTTCTGGAGCCCCTCAGGCCCTACAGATTGCCCCGGCTCCTACCAGATCAGCTCACCCTCCTCCTCCACTCCCATGCCTTCTCCTTAAAGATGGTTGCTGCTGGACACGGAGACCAATGACCTGGTGGCTATCCATACAGATGGCAATGAACAGATCTCAGTGGTCAGCTTCTCGCCAGGTAAGGGGCAGGGCCTGGGACCTCGGAGAGGCAAGGCCTGGGAACTGAGCCTCGGAGCTGCCGTCAGGGGGGCGGGGTGGGGCCTGTGTGGCTGGGCCTGGCTGCAGGTCTGGGGCTGTAGTGGGGATGGAGCTTGGGACTGCTGAGGCGTCTGGGATAGTGGGGGGCTGAATCTGAGCGAGGAGGGGGCGGAGCCTGGGTGCCTCCTCATAGCCCCCTCCCCCTCCCCCAGACGGGGCGTACCTGGCGGTGGGCTCCCACGACAACTTGGTGTACGTGTACAAGGTGGACCAAGGCGGCCGCAAGGTCAGCCGCCTGGGCAAGTGCTCGGTGAGTGGGCAGTGGCCCCGGCCCGCGCCGCCACCCTGTCTAGCGGGTGCAGAATTAACCAATTTTCTACCTCAAGGGAGCACAGCTTCAACCTTCAACTGACTGCCCTGATCACCTCAAGGAGTCTTAGCCCCGCCCACACATTCACCCCATCGTGTTCTAAGCCCGCCCCTTTGTGTAGCCCCGCCCCCCACATGCTAAGCTCCCCTTGTAGCCCCGCCCCCCACGTTCTAAGCACCCTCCGTGTAGCCCAGTAGCCCCTTGTATTCAAAGCCCATCCCTCTGTGTCTAGCTATATGCCCACATGTTCTAAACTCCCCTTGTGTTTTAAGCCCTTTCTGTCTAGCCCCGCCCATGGGAGCCTGGCCCCGCCCCCATGCTCCGAAGCCCTGTGTCTCCTTCCTTTAGCCCCTTCGTGTTCTCACTGTGCCTCTGTATTTTGCCAGCCATCCTTCCTGTCCTCACCCCGCCCCCTCCAGCTCTAACTCCGCTCCTTGCCTCCCCGCAGGGCCATTCCAGTTTTATCACCCACCTGGACTGGGCCCGGGACAGCAGCCGCTTCGTCACCAACTCCGGGGACTATGAGATTCTGTACTGTGAGTTCCCTGAGCCCCAAAGCCGTTCCCCCTCCAGCCTCCTCATTTGCGCGGTGTGATTGGCATGGCCTTCCTTGAGTTCCGGGAGGGGAGAGAGGCATGGGCTTCTTCAAGTCTCTCTCCCCTGACTGTTGTATTTAGGGGCTGTTCTGATTGGTTGGTTTCCTGCTTTCTGATTTCCTACTTGGTAGACCCCGCTTTTCACCAAGTCCTCCCCTTTCTGGTTGAATGGGTGGGGTCCAGGTTTCTAAGCACATGCCCCTGCTCAGGTCTCGGGGTGTCAGGATCCAGAATCCAGCCCCCGTGGCCAGTCCAGAGAGGTGGAATCAGCCCTGGGACCCTGGCCTCCTGCCTTGGACCTCAGTGCCCATCTATGACATGGGTGGGTCAAGTCAGTAGTTCCTTCGGCTCTGAATCCCTCCGCCCGTTTTCTGCCCCAGGGGACTCAGCCACCTGTAAGCAGATCACCAGTGCAGATGAAGTGAGGAACATGGAATGGGCCACAGCTACTTGTGTCCTGGGATTTGGGGTGTTTGGTAAGTTCTGGAATGGGGAAGGGATCACTGAACCCAGACGTTTGAAGAAACATCCCTGTCTGGTGGCTTTCACAGTCTTTTTCTATTGGTTACCTCCAGGGCAGGAAACTCACTCTTTTACCCCTATGGGCAATATCTGTGTTGGGGGGGGGTGGGGATGGGTGGTGGCGCCTGGTCCAGAGAGAATTATACTGCCCAGGCCCCAGCCACTCCTTTATTCAGGCATTAATGCAGTTAGCAACTACTTCCTGAGCACCTCTGAGGGATGCAGTGGTGACTACCGTGGCCCCAGCCTGGGTATCATGGTGTTTATAGTCCGGTGGGGGAGACAGACCTGTCCCTGGACAGCCCAAAGTAGACTGGGCAGGGACAAGGAAGCCCAGTGGTGGTGTCTGGCCTGTCTGTGATGGAGTCAGGGAGGACTTCCTGGAGGAAGGGACATCCAATATGGAGGATGAGATATTCCAGCACGGTGAAGAAGTCTCTAGGCCAAGCACGTCAAACTCAAAGGCTAACACGGGTCAAATAAACAAGGCATGTGGCCCGCAGGCCACAAGTTTGACATGCTTCTCTAGACCAGTGGTCAGCAAACTCATTAGTCAACAGAGCCAAATATCAACAGTACAACGATTGAATTTCTTTTGAGAGCCAAATTTTTTAAACTTAAACTATATAGGTAGGTACATTGTTATTAACTTAATTAGGGTACTCCTAAGCTGGCCTTTGCTAAAAACGTCCTCAATCTGATGGAGGTACGTTCGCTGAGGTCAACCCCTTCCAACTCTCCCATCCTCAACTCGTGCATGAATCGCGAACGCCTCCCCCGCACTGTGTATCCCGCAGCCGACCGACCGACCGACACCCCCCACTTCTTCTAACGCCACTTCTTCAAAATAGACTCGCCCAGGCTGAAAACTGACTTCTGTGCATGGGCCACAAAGTTTCAATCGCACTGTACGTGCGTACCCGCACGTGGTATTTTGTGGAAGAGCCACACTCAAGGG